ATAATATATATATATATATAAAGGTTTACAATAGGTATATTTTCAGTGGTGAATTGCTGATATAAATTATAATGTAATAACCTTGATGCAAACCTTGATCCATATAAAACAGAACACAATTTGAATAACACTGTGATTTACAAAATAAAACAACCTAACTTCTCTCACAGTGACACAATTTACAAAACTTATATTGGCACAAAGTTTGTACGGTAGGCTTAAAAGTCTTCGATGATGACAGACGATCACAATATTTCATCTCCTACCGTAGGTGTTAAAGAAGAAAACACAGCTGCCGCCCCTCTCAGCGGCCCCCTTTCTCTTCTGTCTGGTGTATTTTGGCAGATCCACTTGGCTCAGCTGCTGGTTCCGCCACCATGCCTGACTTTTTTGATGTTCCTGTTGGGATGCCAAGGAAGTTGGAGTAGAGAATGATGGGTATGAAATGAAGGAAAACAAACTTTTACCAGCAGTGAAAGTCATACTGTACCTGAGAGATCATTTTTGTGCAGTCGATGAAACAGCAGGAGACTGAGGAAAAGGATAAAACCGGCACAGGCGATTATCATTCCACACAGCAGAAAGCTGTAGCTGCCTTCAGTGTGGATAATCTGGGAATGAGACAACGGCATTAAACAACAGCACATGAATATAAATCTCCAATGAGCTTGTGTCTGCAATTAAAAGACTATTTAATTTCTTCATCAGGCTCTCTGTTTCTATAATAATGCAGATACTCATCAGACTTACCGAACCAACCAGAACCTGCATTACCATCTCTCCCATCCCTGCACTTGTCACCAGCACTGGGGTTGCATATCCTACAAAAAGAAATGGATGGTTTATTTCCTCTCCTTCCTTCAATAACTTTGCTGTGTTATTATTGTGCTATAAAAAGTTTATACCCTGGTAATCAAGGATGTCTTCAGTATAGGCAAGCATACAGGGGAAGATGCTGCTGAGGAAGAGCCCACATAAACAGGTCCCAACAAACAAAAAGACACTGCTGGTGTAGAAAATAAGCAGCATCAAGACAGTAACAATAGCACCTGACTGTAAAAAGAAAGAATAGAGCACATAATCAGCTTTGTGCTGATATCAAATTGTTGACCTTTAGGTTTCATTGTGTGTGTCTTATTTATAATGTGATGACACTCTAAATGTTTCTTTAACTTTACCAGGTTGAATATGAGCAGTGTCACAGGCTGGAAGCGATATGAGAGAGGTATGGACATCAGACGTCCAGCAGTGATCGCTGCCCAGAAGATACTGGCCAGGTAGCCTGCTGTTTTATGAGCCAGTGACATCGGTGGTGCTACAGCATAGATGTACACAAAGCCGGCATATGCTCCCTGAAAAGATAAGGCAGGTCATTTAATGTGTTCTGCTTTCTGCATTTTATGCTATGCAGATTTGTATGCCTTCATAAAATTTTATGTAGAATATATTACGTGAAAGGCACATCACATTTTTTATCTCTACCCCTGACTCACCACAATACCATCTGTCATGAAGAGCACCATTCCACCCAGGACATGAATCATAAAAAAAGATACTGGCAGCCTGAGCAGGTTATCATTCTGACAGCAGTTAAAGATATCCCCATGACCTGTAACAGAGCAGAAAGTCACAAATGACAGATAACAGCATGCAAAATGGCATTTATTGTTTTTTCATCTGAACTGACTGAAATAAAGTGGCTGCAATAAAGTATGAATTTTACATATAAATCCTGTATAAAAATATCACTTTTTTTTAACCTCTGTCTTCATGTTCCTTTTGCTCCATGTTTGGGCCCTCTGCCCCCTGCTGGTTCTCCATTTCTAGTTCATCTTTGTCCAGAAGATGAGGAGCACTGCTGGGGCAACACGGGATCAGCTGCTCACGATACATCAGGAACAGGACAGCAATGGGCACAGGCAGCTGAGGGTTTACAAATAATAGCTTTTACAATTTTGTCATTTCAACTATTAACTGAAAAAAAAAATCATATTTAAGCTCCATAAAAATGAGCTAAAATCAAAAATTCATCCACTCCTGCACCCTTACATTAATAAGTGCCATGATCCAGAAAGCATAGTGCACAATAGAGTCCCCTTCCTCTGCTTCATGAGGCAGGTGGCTCTGAGTTACATTGTGCTCTGCAATCGGACTGTTTCTCAGCATGTTCCTGAAATGATGTATCATCTCAGTCTCGTTCCCTGTGTGATTCCCACAGCCCCTCTCTGAGAGGAAAGGATCTGCAATCAGTGGGCTCACCAGGGCTCCGAGCCCAATGAAGAAGTGAAGAGCCTGCAAAACGTAGACAAAGGTCAGAGAAATGACTTACTGTAGTTTTTCAGAATCTACAATATATAGTTAGCTCCCAACTTGACTATATATCTACTGAGCTAACTGTGTACAACATCCTCGTCACTTTGTCTTTCCATATTTGTGGGAAGACAAAAACTATACCTGAACCTGATTTGCATTACTACAGATTTTTTCACCTGTAAGAATATGGCTGAGTCCTTCTTATAGATGGCCACCAGCTGGATGTTTCCAATGGTGTCAATAACTCCCATCGCCAAACCAGACACAGCCATGGCGACAACCAGCAGGAGGACATCATTACACAAAGGGATGATGGCAAATATTGCGGAGATGATGAGAGCAGAAACAAATAAAGCAGCTAGTGCTCTGAACAACCTTTAAGACAGAAAAGAGACACATACAGTTACAAAGGCAGATGATCATTTTCAGATTCTTATTACATATGCACAACAAACAACTGCACAGTGGAGTGCCGGGGGTAACACGTCAGATCATGATACTTACGTTCGCTTGAAAACACCACCAACAGAGCTGCCAATCAACAAACAGAACTGCTGGGCAAAGAATACCCATGTAATCTGATGAAGTGTTGAGTTTGTTTGACATTGCAAGTCCAAAATTGTAGGCCCAAGAAAAGCAATGCAGAGTCCAAAGCTGAAGAAAACACTCCAATAGGTCAATGTGTGATGGGCATTTCTTTTGAACAGAGTTACAATCCGCTCATCTACAAACATCCTGAACAGAGTAGAAATAGATGTACTTCGGTGACACAGACCACAACAGATTTTTTACTATTAACGATCACAAAGTGTCACAGCAGCCCTGAGAGGCTTTGTGGATGTTTGTAGTACCATAATGAGTTTTGTGGTCTCTTTTAATGCTTTTAGCTCCCTCCTCTTTGGATTGGTTAACTGAAAAGGATGTTTTCTTGAGTTAATGGGTGAAGTGAAGGCCCTTCCAACAATAATATAGCTATTTGAATTGTGTCAATGATTAACAATGAAAAAAAGGTCTATGTTGAAATGCAACTAGAAATGTTGCATTTATACTGTATATCACTGGACTTCCAGCCTTATCAGTAGAAAATTTATCATTCAGGAAGCAATTATCTATAGGTGTCTCATAGACAGGTTGTCTTTTAAGTATTTTAATCCATAGTGTGAAAAATTACATAATGTGCTATATATTTTTTTTCTATTCTATTTTTTTCTTCTCATAAAATCTTGTCATCATGTCCCCCCAACAGAATAATTTATTTTAACTTTGGTGGTCCTCTGATTTTTCATGTAGCACCAACATCAGGACAACATTTTAAACTCCTCTGGTTTGTCACCAAGTGCCTGATGCTACCATCACCATACAACCTCACAGAACTGCTAGCATGATTAGCATGACTGTAGACTGTTTATATTATAATATAATTTGTTTAATTACATTTGCCACAAAGGTTATGTTATTACCATTGTTTGCTGGTTTGTTCACCTTACAACTCAAAAAATGAACAATTTTGAATACTGTTTTTCTTTTGGAGAGGTAGGGTAAACCATGGAACAGCCCATTACATTTGTTGGTGATCTGGATCATCATATAGGGAAACTGGGCTGCATTGGTTTTTGCTCACTGACTGCTGTCTAGTACTCTATCAAATGTCTTTAGTAACAATATTTACTAATTATGACCTGGACATTGCATGTTGTCTTTGAATATTGTTCAGTTATTATGTCAGGGATCTTGTTGGGGACCCTGTCTTGATGGGAGGGGGTGACTTTGTCCATCTTTTTGCAGTATGTTTCTAGAATTCCACAACATTTCCTGATGCGTTTTTCTTGCCAGCATGTGAGTGTGTATCAGTTTAAAGCTCTGGATGGTCACTAAGGATGAGCAATATGTGTGATATGACACTATAATGTCTAGCTTGATCCCATTTCTGAATGCATATCAACCTTTCAATAAACTACCAGCTGCAGTGTATCTGAAGGCTACTCTATGTTTTAGATGTTTGCAAGGCTTACCTGCACCTTTTCTATGAATTTATAAATGAGGATTCTATAATGAATAATGGTTAGTAATGTGCACCATTACAGTACATGATCCTCAGTGCAATGAATAAAAGAAAGGACTTAATACCTAATCTTTTACTGACTGTGTGGGAGAAACAATGCTCAAGTGTTCATGGCCAAATATGGGCTTCCATAAATAAGCTGCTGTAGAAAAAAAAGAAACTTTTTGTAAGACCTCATTTATACTTGGACTACTTCTCCCCTATAGATCTCTCTGAGTTGACCTCAACAATTGCTTCATCTAAATCATCAACGTGTCTCCTGGACCCCATCCCAACCAGGCTGCTCAAAGACGTCTTTCCCCTAATCAACACATCCATACTAGATCTGATTAACCTCTCTCTATTAACAGGTTATGTTCCACAGGCTTTTAAAGTTGCAGTAATTAAACCTCTACTCAAAAAGCCTACTCTTGACCCAGGTGTCCTAGCTAATTATAGACCAATATCCAATCTCCCATTTATTTCCAAAATCCTTGAAAAAGCTGTAGCAAAGCAGTTATGTGACCACTGATCTTCTCCTAGCCTCGGCGAGGATTTTCAGTCAGGATTTAGAGTCCATCATAGTACAGAAACCGCATTGGTGAAAGTCACCAATGATCTTCTCCTAGCCTCGGACAAAGGACTTGTCTCCATACTTGTCCTCTTAGATCTCAGTGCTGCTTTTGACACCATTGATCACAGCATCTTACTGCAGAGACTTGAACATGTTATTGGGATTAAAGGAACTGCGCTAAGTTGGTTCAAATCTTATTTATCAGAAAGATTTCAATTTGTTCATGTTAATGACGAATGTTCCACACAAACTGAAGTTAGTCACAGCGTTCCAC